AAATTGACAGGTTACGATTGTCCGGGATTGAAGCAGGATAGTTAACGCCCAACCTCTCAGTGAAGGCTTTCCAATTGGTGGCTTTATAATTAAATCGCTGGGGCAGCGGATTAGTACATCCCAGGAGGATAGAGTCATTCCCAATCTTGAAGGAAAGAGAGATTATTATATGGGAGCGTAATCGCTTTATTGGTGAGTCCGTGGCGATTCGTGTGAGCTAGCCGGGAGTCAGCTAGGCAAATATCCAGGAAGGAGTCTGCTGGTTTGAAAGTGGGGGAGTATGGAGTAATCACATTAATCTTAAATTCCTGTTCATATATTTCAGTCCATCGATTAAAAAAACAGCCCCGCTGGTTATTCGCACGATCGCCCCACTGTTTACATCTAACGTTAAAGTCACCGGCCATAATGAAATAATTCTCATCTCTATGAAGCTCGAGAGCACGGAAAAGGGCAGAGAGCTCATCCACAAATAATGTCCTGTTATCATTGCGGGCATAGATACTGATTAGAAATAAGTTCTTATTGTGAAGAGAGGGGAGCTTTAAAATAGTACCCTCGATAATTTGAAATTCCCGCATTATCGGGAGATTAATGGTATCGAACTGGAGGTTCTTCCTGACCAGAATAGCAGTTCCTCCGCCATGATTAAAAGCATGCCTGTCGTTCCTGATAAAAATATAATTAGGGAAGGAAACTTTGTGGTTAGCATTTAGTTTGGTTTCCGATATAAAGATGGCGTCGTGACCATATCTTCGTGCAAAGTCTAACAGCTCAAGCCTTCTATAGTTAGCACATAACGAATTAACGTTAATCGCCGCTATCTTAATGTTACTAACAGGAACAGGGATATTAGCCATTATGAGGGCTGAACAAAGAATTAAGAATAAATTCGATTTTCTCAGAGTTGGCCGTGATCTGCGCTGACAACGATTCAAGCTGCTGTGAAACTAGTAGAGAAATATCCGCTTTGAGTTCGTTCAACCAACTAGGGGTTTTAGAGGGTTGTGGAGGGGGAGATGGCCGCGACGGCGCTTGAGTTCCAGCAGGCTTGCCGGGCAGGGGGTAGCTGGTCCGCTGCAACTCCACAGTAGGTGGCGTTGGAGGGTCCTCTCCCCGGTTAAGGCCCAACGCTTGGGCGAAGCTCATGCCCCTTTTCACCAGGCTCTGCCGCGCGCTAAAATCACGCAGCTTCTGGTTGGCCTGGTTAGCCGTTTGCGACTTCCTTCTCTGCATCGCAAATTTAATAAATGAGCAACCTCTGTAAGAAGCCGGATGCCCCTCCTGTCCACAGTTCGCGCACTTGAGCGCCGATTTCTCGGAAGCCTCCGAAATGAGACAGTTGCCCGGAGTGTGCGTCTGCGCACACTTAACACAACGGAACGGCAGGTTGCAGTTCTTGCTAGCGTGGCCCAGGCGCTGGCACTTCTTGCATTGATATATCGCGGGCTTCTTAAGGTGCTCCCATTTCACCTTCTGGAAGGCAAGGGACTTGATCTTGAATAGCTCAGCCGTTTGGCTACCACTAGATACCTGTAGTATGTGATAGAATCTATCTGGGTCCCTCTTATTGAAATGGAACTTACTGAGGCTAATAATCTCCACATTAGCCAGTTGTAGTTCTTGTATCTCGGCCTTAATATCGTCACAGGGAAAATCGCCTCTGATCCCTTTAATGATCAGCGATTTCGGTTTTTGGCTTTTAGGGGTATATGTGTAAAAATGAACTTTGGCTTCTGCGAGCTTGTTCTTGAATAGCTCAAAATGTTCTAACCGATTAAAGTAAATTGTGTGGCTGCCCGCCACTACTTCTTTGATTGTGAAGTCTCCTTTAGTCAGATTCATATTCTTCGCCAATTGAATGAGCGCCTGCAATGACGTGTTGACAGAGTATATTGGTGGGGGTCTATGAATTTTTGCTGCTTTTGGTTGCCCAGCTCCGTCGGCCGTGTCGTCAATGTCATCGGCATCCATCTCAGCACCATCAGCTGAGAGTGCACTGAATCTATTGCAGCCTCCGCTTGAACCGCCCTGTGGCGGGGCTACGGGTTCGTTGGCCGTAATTTTGGCTGTCTTCTTCGGGACTTGCCAGCCGCTAGTACCTGGCTTCTGCGTATGCGCACTGTCTAAGATGGCGGCGCCAGAGAGTAGCGTGGTGGCCGCGCGCAACCTAGCCGAATTCAGGTTGAGCGCCATATTGCACTGTTTCGGTTTACTTTCACTCATGACTTGTTTATACAGTTTATCGAGTTGTAGGGAGTGTAACCTAGGCGTTTTAGCTTCCCTAAGTCGAATGGAGTGCTCAAGCGACGAAGCATGTCTGTCCGTGTCACTAGGCGAAGCCCCACGCTTTGCCTTATGCGTGGTTGGGGACGCCATTGCAGAATGGGCCTTACGGGCCCAGCCCGCCACAGGGCTATAGAAACCACTATCACGAACGGGTGTAGTAGACACGTAACACACAGCAAAAGTACATAAGGGCTATGGAACAATTAAGCCACCGAACACAAGAACACAGCAACGAGGACAGAAAATACTCTTGACCACAAGTGTTATCGCTACACAAAGACTAATAAACTGAGGAACTACCTTTGAGTAGCGGTCACGCACGTCCGTTCACCTTCACGGTCGCCGTGAGACCGCAGTCAGACGCTTTACCGCTGAACCACCGACACCGTTGAAATACCTTTAATCTTTTGAAATATAACGGATGTAACGTACTTTTATCAATTAGGTTTATTTAGTTTAGTTCCTATTCTATTCCACTGCATGTAAAAACATTGAACAGTGTATATACCATGTATTTCATAAATAACAGACGAAAATTCGTCGAATAAGTAATTCTAACACGCTAAAAGCAGCGAAAAAATCGGTTTTTAATTTTTTTAATTATGGCGTACCTCTTCAAAAAATCTGAAAAAAATTGAGGATGAAGTCTTGACCGACAGAATTATTAACAGAACAGAGAGACAATGCTGACGTCGGGTAACTGAAATTGAAATAATTAAAATGTACTTGTTTTCTTTCAGACAGTGAAATTTGAAATAAGGAGATGAGGAGAAAAGAAAAGATGAGAAATAGAGCAAGATGAGACGAGGGAGAAAGAAAAGACAGAGGAGATGAGTGGGAAGAGAGCATGAAGGAATGCGAACGGCAGGGAGTATTAGAATATGCGTTCTGCCTCCTTCTTCCCCTTCTCCACTCTCCCCACCTAAGCGGCAAAGGGGACCGCGTGGCGAGCTGGAAGCTCGCCTGTACTACCTCCTTGTTATGTGCAAAACAGCCAACAGTATTACATATCGTTAATCGTACTTTATCGTTAATCTTACCTTATTATAGTCTATTTACTCAATAAATATATGTATGTTGTAAGGCAGTTCTGGTGACATTTTTTCCAATGAATGGGCAATTTCGGCGACATCTGGCAGATTTGACGACCGTCGTCAAAGCCATAGCGGTATAATGGTGGTTTTCGTGACAGTCGCTATAACTGCCCATATACGGTTTAATTTTAATATACGGTTTATTCCATGCCAAATCGATAACTTTTCAGCGACTTTGTTCTAAATGAAATTTGTTGTAGTCCATGTGAAATTCGGAAGGGATTAAGTCATCACTTTGCAAGTTCAGAATTTGTTTAGAAGTTACAGGCCTTCGACGTTTTCAATTTTTGCCCATTTTGGCGAAAACGGGGTTCAGATACGAATTTTCATCTCGGGAACTGTTTGTCTGATTAAGCTAAATTTTTTTTTAACCGACTTTGAAAAGGAGAAGGTTACCCAATTCGATCAGTTTTTTTTTCTTTTTCTTTCCTTCTTTTATGTTCATCGATTACTCCGAGATGGATAGACCAATCGGAACGAAACCTTTTGCATCTTGTAGGACCTGTCTCCCGATTGATCCCATAAAAAAACATCTTGCATTTTTTCATTGTTTACCATTTTTTGTTGCAAAAAAGCGTACTGTTTCGTGTATGTTCGGCGTTTTTTTTACAGGGAATGTACCAATCGCGATGAAACCTTTCGTATTTAGTAGAAAATGTTTTCGCGATGATCCCATTTGCAATAAACTTTTTGCTGCAATTCTCTATTGTTATACTAATGTTGTACGGTGTGTAGCTATTACTCTGCAAAGAATATACAGATCGCCACTAAAAAGTGTGAAATACAATAATATAAAAAAAAATACAACCGACTACAAAATGCACTATAAAGTATGAAGTAATGTTGATTTAATTTGTATGAATTCTCACCAGCTCAGTTGATTTAAATATTAAATAGCATATTAAATACAGTGCAATCTTTTCGGAGGCAGCGCAAAATTAAAAATTTTATGAATGAATGATGCTGCTGAATATGATTTGATTGGAGTATGGTGGACTTGGTAATAAATGGGCGGGAAGGAAAAATACATTAATATGTGAAAACGTAGAATAATTAAAGGATTTACATTTACATCTTTACCCCATTCGAAATTTATACCCGTTTATTTGTTATTACACACACAGACAATTATTTTTTACAAGTTCAATATACTCAAAAAGGGTACATTCATTTATACTACCGCACCATTTTATAATTCATATTTACAAGTATTGACAAGTAGCTACAGTAAGATGTAGTTATTTACAATTATGCACAAGTACTTGTATCTATTTACAATAATTGTGTGTCTGTAATAACAAATAAACGCTTGGAAATTTCGAATACAGTAACGATGCAAATGTACGTACTGGATAGAAATCATAACTTAAATTCTATAAAAATTACAGCGCATGTAATTAATTATTAATAAATGCAATGATTATAGCACACCTGCAATAGTTATTCGAAAAAGAGAAATTATAATTAAAAAAAAAAGTGGGGAACCATGGATTTGAACCGTGGACCTTCGGATTGCAAGTCATGCGTTTTACAACGGAACCAACGGTGTCTATACATGATTTTGTCATACTTCTCAATGTGAGTAGTTACTAACTTTAATTGTTAATATCTTTTAAACAATTAGCCGTCTACCCCCAAAATGGAGTATAGGCGTGTTCAGCTCGACGAGCTCCACAAGGTCGCAAAGTTACATTAATAAGTGAGCGTTATACTTGGGTGGTACCCCTTGCCAGTAAGAGCAAACTGAAGGATGAATCACTTATTTCATGAAGCAAATACAGTCGGGGAAACTATGTATAACTTTTGACAGATACAGGTCAGAGTGAATCACATCTTGAAAGTACTTACCAAATTACAAGCAGAATCAACCATATATTGCAGGAAATGGAATGCAAGATGGAATAATGTTGCTGAGTAATAAATACGTGCAAGTTTCTTTGACTTTATTTGAACTTTATATGTTGTTGACAATACGGCATGGCATGGTACGTACATTCATATATACTCTTGCTACTCCTTCTAAAGTAGCATGTATCTCTTTACGTAAAGAAAAAAATTATATAACAGATATCTTTCAATAATTGAGTATGACAATCAAAATCAAAATGGGAGTATATTTGCCATTATTTGGTAAGTAATTTGGTGGATTCCAAGTATAAATGCAGTTGAATACAATGTATCAATATATAATAATACTATTTCTTGTTCTTTTTCTATATTTTCAGAACCTGTTCAAACATTGATGGGAAAATTACCACCAAAAATTATGAAGTAGAAAAATTGAATGGATACATTAAAGAAGTTAACCAGCGTAGAGTCAAATACTAAGGCAAATAACAAGAACGTACTCTGTAAAGAAATGCAATTACTTTGTCGCAAGATATATCTGGAAATATGCTTAAGGTAAAAGAAATATTAAACCTTAATTTCTTCATTACATCCTTTATTTCAAATTAATGTTCTTGAGTACAATGTATGAATATATAATAATATGATTTCTTTTTCTTTATTTTCAGCATTTATTCACACAGTGATGAGGAAATTACAACAAACAAATTATGAAGTAGAAAAATATAATAGATACAGTGAACATATTATCTAAAGAAGAAGATTATTAAATTAGATAAGTTTATTTTGCAAATCATCGACTATAAAAACAATGTAATGCCAGCATACTTTAAGTAAATAAATTAGCAGGAGATAATGAGACTTATAAATTGTAATTTCCTGTTCCAATTTCCTTAATATAGAGTTTAATTCATCGTTCACATTGTCTTTTTTTACTTACAAATAAATACTTTTGTCGTGTTAAAATTCATAAATAAGAAAAAAAGTTGTAATATCGAAGTTGTTACTTTACTATTCACTTTCATCTATTTTGTATCACTTGTGTTTACAAATCTCAAACTCATCCCATCCGACTAAAAGAGTCCAATTGAAATATTCTATTGTTCAGACCATTTAGAAAATATATTAAAACATTTAGAAACAATCTTGTTCAGTGAAGACTTATGGAGAACAGATAGAAAATGATATCCAATTACTGTGAATTAGTTTTATGTCACCATAAGCAAATATAACCTAAAATCTTACAATGCACAATTCACTAAATTTCTTGAACAATTGTACTAGAATATTTTAATCACATGTAATCCGACAATATATTGTGTCAATTCTATTTCTTTTTCCTGGTAATCACCGATACTTTACAATTTTTTGGCGAAACACGGAGCACATGACAGAATGTAACGCGTTATACAGCTGACGCGATAAGACTGTAGAAATTGATAGAAATTGATAGTTCCACTATTTTTCCACGCATTTTTATGATCAACCCCTTTTTTTGTCGAAAATCACGAATACTTTTCAATTTTTTAACGAGGGAAGGTGCTTATCATGGAAAATAAATTGTTCTAAATACGACGCAATAAAATAGTAAAAACTCGAAAAAATCAATAATTCCACTATTTTTCCATATATTTGCATGAACGACCACTCTTTTTACTGGAAATCGCAAATAGTTTTCAATTTTTTAGTGAGGAAAGGTGCTTATCGTGGAAAATAGTTGTTCTAAATACGACGCAATAAAATGGTAAAAAATCGATAAAATCAATAATTCCACTATTTTTCCATATATTTGCATGATCGACCACTCTTTTTAGAATTGAAAACTATTCGCAATTTCCAATAAAAAGAGTGGTCGATCATGCAAATATATGGAAAAATAGTGGAATTATTGATTTTATCGATTTTTTACCATTTTATTGCGTCGTATTTAGAACAACTATTTTCCACGATAAGCACCTTTCCTCACTAAAAAATTGAAAACTATTCGCGATTTCCAGTAAAAAGAGTGGTCGTTCATGCAAATATATGGAAAAATAGTGGAATTATTAATTTTTTCGATTTTTTACTATTTTATTGCGTCGTATTTAAAACAACTTATTTTTCATGATAAGTACCTTCCCTCGTTAAAAAATTGAAAAGTACTCGTGATTTTCGACAAAAAAAGGGGTTGATCATGAAAATGCGTCACAGCCGACTCTAGTACTAGCCATGCTGAACAACGTGGCAACACCGCTCACGTGACAATCGGGAGTCCTATTTTCAAAAACAGAGTCCTGTGCTCGGAATTGTAATTAACGTCCTTTTTAATAAAAAGCTGTAGTAATATACACTATTTTGTGTTAATTATGTATAAACAATATATAAACGTTGCAACTATGGCAAATAGAAGTGATGTGGTAGTATAAAATTGTTATAAATGTGATATATATTTTGTGTACTCTCACAGTAGTTTGGTGTTGTGAAGCATGATATTTGAAATATTTACAGTGGTTTCAAGAAAATTTAGGTATGAAGCAAAATGAAACCATCTTTGGATCAAATTGAAACATTTAAGAATTGATAAACGTGTATATAAGTTAATAAAAACCTTGAAACAAGCGAAATGATTGGATCGAAACCAAAGAGGTTATGTGAAGTCCAGAGAGTGTCGGGAGTCTGACGACGTTGATTGGCTGAGAGTCTGGGAGTCCGGGAGGCAGATAGAGTAGGGTAGGTGTTGATATATTCAGACCGGACTCTCGCGGTGTTGCCATTTTTACTTCAGCACGGCTAGTACTAGAGTCGGCTATGAATGCGTGGAAAAATAGTGGAACTATCGATTTCTACCGATTTCTACAGTTTTTTTTTTTTTGTTCTTGACTTTTCTTGGGCGAAGCCCAAGATGGCGTTCTACAGGAGGTTTTTTCCTCCTCTCTTGCCCAATGAACATCAGCGGCCTTTTTAAATTTTTTCTCTAAATCCGCACCGTACATAGTTTAGTACGATTATATCAAATCATCCATAGTTTTTTTTCCATTATTCTCTTTTTACTTCTTTTATACTCTTTACATTTCTTCTTTTCTCCATTCATCTACCTTTTTCTCTTTATCCATTTTTATTCATATTCACTATCCGCTTATTTAGTTGCCAACAGCACACGGTAACCCATCTTTTGGCGAAACCGTGCCCACTTACAAGGAGAGTGCAAGGCCTTCGTCTCATCGATTTCGTTGAAACTTTGCACACTTATAGATCTCGTTCTCCTGTTTACGAGTATATACCATTATAGGGGCAGATACTCAGTAGTTTTTGAGATATTTATAATTAAAGTTTTATTATTACCTTAAAGTAGATTGTAGTTGCGGCGACTACCAAGTGTAACGGTGGCGCAGTTGTAACGTATCAGGCTTCTACATCGACGATCCAGGGTTCAAATCCTGCGTGGTGTGGGTATGAATTTTTTTTTGATCCAGTTAATTGAATTGCACAATTACTTGTTATTTACAACAATTTTTTGAAAAAGACACAAAACTGTACTTATCTGATAGAGCACGAAAGAGAAATTGCAAGCAGGGAAGATTCTATTAAATTACATTCGCTCATTCATGAACAACTCTGTGCACCAATTTTTAAACCTATGCTGCAGTATGCATGGTTTGCAGCTGGACTGTCTACAGAAAGATTACTTTTCGAAAACGTAAACCAAGTCTGTTTTCCAACAGAAATACAAAAAAGTAAATGTTCATGCAACAATACTGCATTTGTTCGATGTGCAAAATGCTTTTGTACACTATGTTTCCCGTGCTTTTACGACAAGTACCATTGTTGTAAATAACAAGTAATTGTGCAATTCAATTAACTGGATCAAAAAAAAATTCATACCCACACCACGCAGAATTTGAACCCTGGATCGTTGATGTAGAAGCCTGATACGTTACAACTGCGCCACCGTTATACTTGGTAATCGCCGCAACTACAATCTACTTTAAGGTAATAATAAAACTTTAATTATAAATATCTCAAAAACTACTGAGTATCTGCCCCTATAATGGTATATACTCGTAAACAGGAGAACGAGATCTATAAGTGTGCAAAGTTTCAACGAAATCGATGAGACGAAGGCCTTGCACTCTCCTTGTTAGCTTGACTTCGGTGATCTTACGAGTACCGGTGTGGCGATTTCTACAGTCTTATCGCGTCAGCTGTATAACGCGTTACATTCTGTCATGTGCTCCGTGTTTCGCCAAAAAATTGTAAAGTATCGGTGATTACCAGGAAAAAGAAATAGAATTGACACAATATATTGTCGGATTACATGTGATTAAAATATTCTAGTACAATTGTTCAAGAAATTTAGTGAATTGTGCATTGTAAGATTTTAGGTTATATTTGCTTATGGTGACATAAAACTAATTCACAGTAATTGGATATCATTTTCTATCTTTTCTCCATAAGTCTTCACTGAACAAGATTGTTTCTAAATGTTTTAATATATTTTCTAAATGGTCTGAACAATAGAATATTTCAATTGGACTGCTGTAGTCGGATGAGATGAGTTTGACATTTATAAACACATGTGATACAAAATAGATGGATGTGAATAGTAAAGTAACAACTGTGATATTACAACTTTTTTTTTTATTTATGAATTTTTACACGACAAAAGTATTTATTTGTAAGTACAAAAAGACAATGTGAACCATGAATTAAATTCTATATTAAGGTAAATGGAACAGGAGATTATAATTTAAGAGTTTCATTTTTTCCTATTAATTTATTTACTTAAAATATGCTGGCATTACATTGTTTTTATAGTCGATGATTTGGAAAACAAACATATCTAATTTTATAATCCTCTTTGGATAATTTGTTCACTGTATCTATCAAATTTTTCTACTCCATAAATTCTTTGTTGTAATTTCCTCATTAATGTCTGAATAAATGCTGAAAATAAAGAAAAAGAAATCATATTATTATATATTCATACATTTTACTCAAGAACATTAATTTGAAATAAAGGATGTATTGAAGAAAATAAGATGCTATATTTCTTTTACCTTAAACATATTTCCAGATATATCTTGCGACAAAGTAATTGCATTTCTTTACAGAGTACGTTCTTGTTATTTGTCTTAGTTTTTCACTCTACGTTGGTTAATTTCTTTAATGTATCTATTCAATTTTAGTACTTCATAATTTTTGGTGATAATTTTTCCATCAATGCCTGAACAGATTCTGAAAATATAAAAAGAACAAGAAGTAATATTATTATATATTGATACTTTATATTCAACTGCACCTATATTTGGAATCTACCAAATTAATTATCAAATAATGGCAAATATATCCCCATTTTGATTCTGATTGTCGTACTCAATTAGTGAAAAGCTTCTATTATATGCTTCTTTTCTTAATGTGAAAAGCTACATGTATGAAGATATATATGGGCCATTCCACGCAAAGTGATCACACTTTTTCCCGCATGGTCTTGGATTTTTGTTAAATTTTGTAGGCTTGTAGAACCCAATGTACGAACAAAAAATCGATGCTCCGTTCCTCAATATTGTTTAAACTTTCCAAGTTATAAGGACTGAAAATTTAGGGTCACTTTTTTTTCAAAAAATCATAACTCGGAAAGTATTATAGATATCGACATGCATGAACGTTTTATAGGTAAAACTTCAAAGTTTAATAAAAAAATTACTACATGTGTCAACGCAATCTTCAAATTGTTGTAAATAATGTTTATAATTTTTAAACTTGAAAATAACCTCAAGGGGGAGCACGAATCGGTCTGAAATTTTTTCTGTAGAATCTTTAAAGAGTTTTCTAAATACCCTGAAGATTTCATGATGGAACACGCAGAGTTGCCGGAGTTATAAAATTTTATTGCTGCGTATGACCTACCAGCAGATCATCGCGCGCCGTCCGGTTCCCATGCGCCGCTACTCTACATTTTTTCAAATAGCCAGCCATCGGTTAACAACTACGGAATAGATCGACACGTTTCTGGTACTTTTGTCTACAAACCCTTAAAAGGCAATAAAAGTATGGCAAACTGATTTTGGCGGTTCACTTTTCCAGAACACCGTTCAGTTTTATTTGGGAAAGCAACGAGACAAGCGGTTTCAGTTAAGCGTTCAGTGTTGTGCATAACTATGCTGTGTACTTTTCAGTTTCTTGTTTTTCTTAGTTTAAAACTGTAATTGTGTACTGGTGGAAAGCAAAAATGCCGCGAAGATATTGTTCCAATCCATTTAGTTTACCTCGACATTCAAATGTAACTAAAAATCTTCGTTCAGTTACAATCGCCTTTCGTGAAAAATATCAGAATATAATATTAGGAGAAAATTTGTGCTGCATGTGTAGAATGCGAGTAATTCGAACATCTAGATTAAATCGTCCAAATCTTCCTATCGTAAACGTAAGTGAGCCGGGTTGTTTTCCAACAGTTCAAGAGCCAGTTGTTGGTCCAAGTAATGTAGAGCAAGTAATAAGCAACAATTCGTCAAATTCGGGAACAAATGCAGATACAGGGTGATTCTCTCGCAACGCAACACAAAAGCCGGACCCAAAACTGCTTTGTGTGTGTTTATGGCTGAGACGAAGTCAAGAAACGGAACAGCAGGGGTTCCATTGTGCGGCTCGGCTTTTGTGTTGCGTTGCGAAAGAATCACCCTGTAGTTATGTAGAAGAAATAGATCGGGAATATTCGTTATCGTCGTTAAATAGTGCCCTTAAATCTCTCGGTGAATCTCCTATCACATCAAAATCTTTAAAATCACCTCTCCAGATTAAGAAAAAAGTGTGTATTAGAAACAATTATTTACTCCAATTTGTATTTGTAAGCGGATAGACCGAAAAGTAACGCCGACAAGTGCAGTGCCGCATGGGGACCGGATGGCGCGCGATGGTCCGCCGGCAGGTCATACGCAGCAATAAAATATTATAACTCCGGTAATTCTGCGTGTTCCATTATGAAATCTTCAGGGTATTTAGAAAACTCTTTAAAGATTCTACAGAAAAAATTTCAGACCGATTCGTGCTCCCCCTTGGGGTTATTTTCAAGTTTGAAAATTATAAACATTATTTACAACAATTTGAAGATTGCGTTGACACATGTAGTAATTTTTTTATTAAACTTTGAAGTTTTACCTATAAAATGCCGGTTCATGCATGTCGATATCTATAATACTTTCCGAGTTATGATTTTTTGAAAGAAAAGTGACCCTAAATTTTCAGTCCTTATAACTTGGAAAGTTTAAACAATATCGAGGAACGGAGCATCGATTTTTTGTTCGTACATTGGGTTTTACAAGCCTACAAAATTTAACAAAAATCCAAGACCATGCGGGAAAAAGTGTGATCACTTTGCGTGGAATGGCCCATATACTCCATAATATCTCTGTTGCAATTTTCCCCTCCGTGTCTGATCAAACGCTGAAAATAAAGAAGAAAAAGGCATATTATTATATATTGATACATTGTACTCAACAACATTAATTTGAAATAAAGGATGTACATATTGAACAAAATAAGGTTTAATATTTCTTTTACCTTCATCATATTTCCAGATATATCTTGCAAGAAAGTAACTGCATTTCTGTTTCGAGAACATACTTCTGTTATTTGTCCTGGTATTTTATTGGAAATTCTGTACATTCTCTCTATCTTCTTTGATTGTAGTTTCGTTAGATCATGATAATCCCTGTAAAAGTATATAATTACATAGAAATAAGATTACTCACTTCAACGAATTTAATTCCACAGTTACTTTAGTGGTCAACATCAAAAGTAAGTACATACATTGTTAAATTGTACAAAACATTTTGAACAAATAGATTGAATTGTAGTCAAACCTATGATTCTAAACGAAGAAATATAAAGCTAATTGAAGCATAAAATAACTAAAAAGATTCATTAAATACATGCTACAAACGTGGATCAAAGTAGGAGTTTACTTCTTTTTTAATCAGATTGTGGGTGACCATCAATGACATGTCGCAGGACTCAACTTATGGGTACTTCAAACATTAAATCCGATTAAAAAAAGTCCCGTTCCATGTTCATTGATTTCTCTTCAAATCTCTTTATCCTTCCTTATGCGATAAAAAATCTTCTTCATGTTTATAACGCATTTTCTTTACTATATACGTACTTACATTCAAATTAATAATTAAAATATATGATACATAATATTAATATAAAAAACCTATTCTGTAAAATATTCAATTCTTTCTGTAAAATTTCACATTCTAACCTATACCTGTCAAACGGTACACATAACTTTTTGACCTTACTTATTAGCAGATATTGATATCTTAATAACTACCTTGTAATTATTCCTCTACTCTAACCTATACCTGTCAAAGGATATGCACAATATACTGACCGTAGTTGTTTTATGGAACAAGCATATTGGCGATTCGTTTCCCTCAATTAATGTGACGATAGCAGCTGCAATCAATTAGAGACTATGGAAATGGAAAACCCACAAGAAAACACAGCAATGTCGGATTGTCAAAAATTGGACATCTTGTTTCTTACACCATTTTATCAAAATATATTAGAATGTTGCACACAAGCGTCGATAAAAACTCCAGATACATATTAAATTCACTTCCGAATTTAAGGCGATGCGAGCATCGAGGCCGAACTCCGAATTCCGCGTTGGTAAAACAGTTGTTACGTTTGCCGTAGCGGTTTTAGGGAGATTCTGGGGAAAAGGTTCCAGGAGCGTGGGTTGGCTGCCCGTGGAGTGTAGAAACACTCTGCTTGGTGCGCGCCAAAACTAAAACTTCTTACTTCGAATGATAGGTTTTAATAAAACGTCAAGATTGAACGGAGTCAAGAGTTGTTCTGATCTGTATTTCAAAAACGCGTTACAAGGTAAGTTTCGCGGGGACGTAGCGTGGGGGTTGTTTTACATGATTGGTGGAGGGCAGTAACAAGAGTGGTTGTTTTGGTTGGCTGAATTTGTAGCGGGGAGTTCGAGGTGGCCGCCCGCTTGTGACGTAGCGATTTTTGGGGAAAACCCCGAGGTTTTTCCAAGGGTCTTCTACCTTCGGCTGGTCGGCGTCGATGTTTCCCGTTCGGGACCGTTAGCCGCGGCAAAGCAATAAAGTTGACGGCAACGACCGTACCTTAGGGCGACGGTGAATAAAGCAACCTATTATCGGTAATAAACACGGGGAGAACTGCGATTTGAAAGGAAGTTCGTGAATTTAAATTATCGCTCGTCGCGGATGGCCTGGAGTTCGAAAAACGGAGGTTATAAACGTTTACGGTGGTAAAGTTCCTTCGAAATTAACATAGTTTAGGATTGTTTTATTAGAGTCTAACGGGATAAGGTTTACGCGATGTTTGTTCGCGTAACATTAACATATTCGAATCGCGAGCCGTGGATAATTCGGGGCTATTTCGCGAGGTGGTGTGTCGATGAAATTTCGCGATAGCGTTACACAGTCAACGTTTCATCGAAAATTAGGCCGAACAGAAACTGATTTCAGCGTCACCTCAGTTATCGCATCCAACTAACGGCATGCTATTTACGTCACTCTTCGCATACACCTAAATAACACACGGATGCTGTGATAGCTATATGTATTATGTGCGATGAATCAGACCAATTTTTGCGTGTCGCCGTCTCCGGCGGTTTCTCAACCACAGTTTCTCGAGCGAGTTCGGCTCGCCTTTGATGAGGTGACTACCGAGAATCGAAGCAGCGTACAGGGAAAAAAGCAAGTTTAAATACCCTTGTACGTGTGAGACAATTATTATTATTATTATTAAACTGGTTGAGGCTCGCCGGGCACTCAGTCCTTGGGGACCATTGTACCCGGGCCGCTAGGCAGCCTCTTTACTGGCTGTACCTTGGCAGCTGGGCTTCTGTGGCAAAATTTAGAAGCACCGGCACCAGGCCAGCCGAGATGCTTAATGATGAGGGTTCCAAGGTCTCCAGGATTGATCCTCTTAGGGCCCTTAGTTCCCTGCATCTTAGAAGTACGTGAAGAGGTGTTTCGTCCTCTTCCTCACACCTCGGACATAATGTCTCTTCTGTGAGTCTCATGCGCGCGAGGTGTTTCTTTGTGTACCAGTGTCCTGTCACTAGGCCCACGAGCATGCGCAGTCGCGCCCTGTCCAGGTGAATTAGGGTGTCACCCAGCTTCTGTGACGGTCCCTCAAATACGGCCCTCGCGTGTCTCATGCCATTGGCGTTATTCCAGAGCCTGGTGAATTCCTGGTTTAACCAGTCCTTAGCTAGGCCTTTCAACGCATAGGTTGAGACACCAATGGGGTACTCATGGCATGGCTGGGAGCTTGTCGCCCCCAGTCGTGCCAATTCGTTAGCCCTCTCGTTACCTGGGATGCCAGCGTGACCTGGTACCCATAGCAGCTTGACTCTGTTGTTCAGAGATAGCTGTCTCAAAGTCAGTATACAGTCCTTGACTAGCTTAGACCCTACCTCCACTCTATGGAGGGCTCCAAGCGCAGCAATACTGTCACTGCATCTACATCTGTAGATGTGTTTGCCCGAATGGTCTTTTTCCAAGTTGTATTTGGCGCAGGCCCATATAGCAAACACTTCTGCTTGGAAGACCGTGACGTGGTGGCCCAGTTTATAGGTCATTTCAACCTTTGGGCTCTCCCCCGCTATCCCGGCTCCGGTGCCAGATCCGGTCTTGGAGCCGTCTGTAAACCAGACCAGCCCCCCCGGAGTCAGGATGCCGCTAGGGTCCTCCAGCCATTTCTCCCTTTCTGGGATAATTAAGTCATATTCCCGTCTGAAGAGGTACTCCGTCTTGCAGCGGTCACCACCGTGGGTCAGAATTAGCTCCGATCCCCGATCCCTTAAGATCTCGGTGTGCCCGCCGCTCGTCGGGCACCATTCTTCAGCTTGGTGCAGGCGGATGGCCGCTCTCCAAGCCGAGGCCATCACTGTTAAGTGGGGTGGCTTGATGTCGAGCAGCGCACCCAAAGCCATAGTGGGCGTAGTGGGAAGCGCACCTGTTATCCCCAGCAACGCTATTCGGTATATTCTTTCTATTGTCCTTCTGTGTGCTCCCCTTTTCATGAAGGTCCACCACACAATTGAGGCGTATGTTATAATGGGTTCAAGGATGGCCTGGTATATCCACCTGACCATCCTTGGTTTGAGTCCCCATGTGGGGCCAAACAGCCTGCGGCAGGCCCAGTAGGTGCTGATTGCTTTCTGGATCTGTCTGTTTACGTGGTTCTTCCAGGTCAGTTTTTTATCTAGTGTGACACCAAGATATTTTACCTCATCTGTGAGTTGTAGTTGCGTCCCAAAGAGATGAGGAGCCTTAAAATAGAATCGTCTTCTCCTTGTGAATAGGACCAACTCCGTTTTGCTCGGGTTTGCCGAGAGCGAGTGTGATCGACACCAGGATTCCACAAGTGTGATAGCCCTTTGCAACCTCCTCGCTAATTCCAACGGGTGTCTGCCTCTGACCGTGATCGTAAGGTCGTCGGCGTAACCCTGAACCGCAAATCCTTCTATGGTGAGTATACGTATGAGTTCATCAACCACGAGGGTCCACAGCAGGGGGGACAGGACTCTTCCCTGCGGGCAGCCTCTCGCGACGTCGGCCCTCACCGTCTCCTCTCCCAGGCTTGCTGTGACTGTTCTGTTCGTCAGCATATTGTGGATCCATCTTACGACGGAGTCCTTAATATTGTATCTCATCGCGGCTTCCTGTATAGCGTCGTGGGGGGTGTTATCAAACGCCCCCTCGATGTCGAGGAAGATGCAGAGAGCAGATTCACCGTTCGACAGTGCATCTTCGATGGAACCTACCAGGTTGTGAAGTGCCGTCTCGGTGGATTTGCCATTTTGGTAGGCGTGTTTGGAGGGGTGCAGCGGTTTGCTGGCCAAAACCTCATCTCTGATGTACCTATCAACCAGCCTCTCCAGCGTTTTAAGCAAGAAAGAGATGAGGCTGATGGGTCTGTACGACTTAGCGAGGTCATAGTTGTCCTTCCCTGGCTTCGGGATGAACACTACCTTGGAGTATCTCCAGGCTTTGGGCACGTGGCCCTTCGCTAGGTAGGATTTGAAGATCTGGCCCAGGCGCCTGTACAGGTCCTCCCCGCCCTCTTGTAGGAGTGCTGGGATGATCCTGTCAGTTCCTGGGCTTTTGAATCTTTTGAAGGAGCCGATGGCCCATCTCACCCTGTCCGTGTTAATCACCTTTTCAGCTATTCCCCAGTCCGCTGGAGCAGGGTCGGTGCGCGCCGTATCGTTACGGCGCTGCTCCCGATCCTCTGCTACTGAGCCTGGGAAGTGTGTCTGAATGAGGTGCTCTAATGTTTCCCTGTGGTTGTTCGTTAGCCCTCCGTTTGGGAGTCTAAGACGATCCAACTTCGGTGAGGGGCCTGTCGTGAAGACCTTCCTTAACCTGGCAACTACAGGTAGTGCCTCGGTTTCTTTGCAGAAGGTCTTCCAGGCCGTCCTCTTGCTAGTTCTTATTAACTTTTTGTAAGCTTGCTGGGACTTTTTGTATTTGTCCCAAGCTGGCTCCGTATTTGCCTCCATGGCTTTATTCAGTAGTTTACGGGTAACCTTCCTGGCTTGGTCCAATTTCTTGTTCCACCAGGGGACCCTCTTGCTACTGTTCCTGATTCTGACCGGGCAGGCTGCTTCATAAGCTTGAGTGATGGCGGAGCTCAGATGCTCCACCGCTTGCTCAATTTCTCCTATGGTCCTGGGACGCTGACAGTTCCCCTTCAGCCTCCCTTCCAGGCCCTCTTTATAGAGTGCCCAGTTGGTGGCCTTTGGGTTCCTGTAAGCCTCCCCAGTACCGCCCTCCCTGTCACCTGTTAATTCGAAGGTAATAAGGCGGTGGTCCGAGAGTGTGCTCTCGTCCCGTACCTGCCAGTGTTTTACGACCTGTGTCACCTTGGCGGAGCCCAGGGTCATATCAATCACCTCCTGTCTGCGGGAGGTAACAAAGGTGGGAGAGGAGCCTTTGTTGAGGATCTCCAGGCCCGTGGTGGCAAGGTACTCCAGCAAAGCTGTGCCTCTGCCGTTGGTGTTTGTGCTGCCCTATACGGTGTGGTGCGAGTTAGCGTCGCAACCGATCACCAGGTGCAGACCGTTGACAGCACAGTGATCTATCAGAGCCCTGAGGTCCCTCGTAGGTGGAGGTTCCTCGGAGTCATACGGCAGGTACGCCGAGCACACCACCAGCTCTGACGTATTCCCACCGAGGTTAAGTTTAACCTTAACCGCTGAAAGATCAGCTGTAATTCATCAGCTAGAATTCATTAAGTTTCAGGGCCGCTATCTTCTTCTTGACAAAGATGCAGGCCCTAGGCCTTGTGGATGTGGTATCATAATATAGTGAGCCACACCCCGTGTTTAGCTCTCCTACACGTTCCTTGTGAATCCAAGGTTCTTGTAAGAGGGCTATATCCGTCTGCTCCATCGCTAGGCGGCGCAGGAGAATGTCCGTTGCCGCCTTGCAATGTTGCAAGTTGATCTGCGAGAACCTGGTACCATCTGACACCTTGTTGGTGTCCAGTCTCGCTTGGTCGGAGTAGGCGTGTTATGTTCCCCGGCGGGGCCCATTACGCCTACTTGTGAGGGTGGCCCCTACTGGGGCCCATCCCTCTCTTTCCCCTAGTACCGGCCTTCAGGGTGTGCGTCAGGGTACGTTGACTCCCCTTTTGCTTGGCATTACTGCCTTGGGG